GGATGGTCTCGATCTCCTGACCTCGTGATCCGCCCGTCTCGGCCTCCCAAAGTGCTGGGATTACAGGCTTGAGCCACCGCGCCCGGCCTCGCTGGCTCTTTTAATCTGGAATAGCTTCCCTGCTTTTTGTTTCTCTTTAGGACACTGACTTGTGACCACGTGTGGCCATCTATCTGTGTTATACTCCATGTTCTGGGTGTAACCTGGAGCCCACACAGATTAACACTCCCTGTCCTTCATGCCCCAGTGGGTGGAGTCGTGGTCTCTGCTGTCCATGAGGCAGAGGTCGTTGAGGTGACATGCAACCAATTATGGCCTGTCCCCTAGCGGCTGGGGGCAGACCCCTGCTGACCACCTTTCCCGGGTCCAGCTCAGGCCATGCCCCTCCACCCGCAACCACGATGCCATGGTGGCTTCTTTTGTGGTGGCCTCTTTCGAAGGGGTTCAAGGAGGCTGCAGAGCTGAGGCCTCAAGATGGACAGGGCCATGGGCCAGGGGCCTGGTGAGGAAGCCAATTTACAAACCCAAGTCACAGTGGGCTGAGCCAGGGGCGGGCAGAGACTGGGAGACCAAGGACCAGGGTGGTGATTGGGGGCGGGAGGTGCCCTGGCCTCAGGCAGGGGTGGGGGCGGCTGGGGAGGAGGGGAGCAGGTGGAGGGGTGAGCCGCCATCCCTTGCCATTCCCAACCTGGGGCCTGCTGCCAGCTCTACCAAAAGGGTTTTCTCCAGGCCTGAACTATAGGTCCTCCTGCTGGCAACTCTGAGGATGCACACCCCTCCAGCATGACTCCAGCCCCTCTTGAACATGCCTCACCCCTGCAAGGCATTGATTTGAGGTGCCCTAGGGAGGAGGGCAAGCTGGAGACCCGAGGGAGCCCGCAGTGGACCCGAACTCTGGGGGTGGGAGAGGGTACCGGGGGGAGGTGTTGCCAGGCAGGGTCAGGGTCAGGTCACATCCCCCAGACTCCAAGCAGCAGAGGCACAGTATCACCCTTGAACCTGAATTCAAGGGCTCTGCAGCAGCACTAAGCCCAGGTGAGAAGGTCTTGGGGGCAAGTACCCTTCATGCTGAAGGAAATGCAGGGTCACCAGCTCCTAAGACAGCTTGTGACCTGGGGCCGCTGCAGCACACAGGTCTGCGGGGCATGGGCTTGCCCTTCTGTGTCTTCCTTTTGACACCCTGCCTCTAACCTTCCCAGGAGGAACCCAGCGATGGTGGCTGAGCCCCAGGTGAGCTGACCTTTGGGGAACAGTTGCTGCCCAAGGCCTCTCCCCCTCAGCCTGGAGCCCCTTGCCCAGCAGACCCTTGGGGCCCTGAGAACAGAATCTCCCTCCCCAGATGCAGGCCCAACCCGCTGGCTGCCCCTTCCACAGAGCTGAGCAGGGTGCAGGGCCCTGAGGGGAGAGCCCAGTTTTGAGAGCTCTGTGTTTCCATAGTCACACTTTCCCTGCCCAACCTACCCCTAGCTCTTTTCCTAAACATCTGCCTGGAAGGTAGGGAGACGCACACAGAGCCTCTTGCTAGAAACTCAGTCCAAGCTGCAAGGTGTGCCTGCCCTTGGGCAGGGGTGAGGCTCTCTGGGCAGTGAGCACCTGTGATTTTAGGGCACAGTGATGTTTGAGGAGGTGGCCATGTACCTCACACAGGAGGAGGGGCAGCACCTGGGACCCCCTCAGAGAGCACTCCACCAGGATGTGATGCTAGAGAACCACTGCACCCTAACAGCTCTGGATAAGCATCACATGGTGGGTTTCAGGTCCCTGCTCCCCATCCCCAGGTGACTGGTCCCCTGGGCTCTCTTGACTCATAGACCAAACATCCCCAGTCCATGGGTATGGTACATCCCCAGTACCCGTGTCCCAGCAGGGAGTGCCCAATGATCTCATCACCCATTCTTCTCGAGACCTCCTCTGGATCCCCCTCCTCTTGCAGCCTCTGTGGCCCTCAGCCAGGGGCAGCTCAGATATTCCAGCACTGACCATTATCTTCTTGATAAACAGGTTTTTCAGTGTCCACACTCAGGGTTATTTCCCAGCGGGAGCAGGGGAAAATGCCATGGGTCATTGCTCTGCCAGGGCCTCCCTGCACAGGTGAGTGAGGAGGTAGGTGTCTCAGGGGAAGCCGTGATGTGTTGTGCATGTGAGCTGTGAGGGGGGAGTTTGAATGGCCAGCTGAGAGACCCCTGATTGTCTCTTCTGGCTCCCGTCCTGGCCCCACCTTCCCTCTGAGGAGAAGTGCAAGCCCATTGTGCTACTCCTTGTGCAGCTACTCAGGTGGGACAGCCATTTTCTAGTGGTGACCAGGCTTCCCTGATGAGCTGATTAGCGCTTACATGTCAAAGTACAAACAAAACTCCACATTGTGTTCACATGGGAGCATGCCCCCAGCACCCTCTCCTATTTCCACAGTTTGCACGCTGCTTGCATGCAGGCATTCTTCTAGGTGCTGGGGTTAAGTATAAGCAAAACCAAGTCCTTGTCTTCAGGGAGTGTACATTTTGGTTTGTGCAGAACATCATAGTTTGGGGAAGAATGATTTACCCTGCCCTGATGTCCTATCATATTTGTTGGTCTCCACATTAGAATGCTAAGGGACAGGGACTTCATTCATTCACCAAGTCCCTGGTACCTCAGGCAGTGCCAGGCACCCAGGAGGCACCTGGCAAACACTGCTGGAATGAATCCCTAGTTCTTTAGTTGTCAGTTCCTGCTTTGTACACTGTGCCATCAAGGTGCCGCAAGTATCTGTGTGAGAAGGCATTTGCCCTCAGAATTTCAGTCCAGTCAGAGAGAGATGGACACACACAACTAAGCGTGATACAAGACAAATGGAATAAAGTCATTAACAGAAGGGAAAATAAAACTCAACTCAGGCTGGCAAATATGAGCTGCACAGAAATTTGCTTTGGCTCAATCAGTTTCTTCTTTCACAGAGAAACTTTTAATTTCCATTCTTTGTTTCAGATTCTTAGGTCAAGACAAAGCATAAACAATCAACTCCAACAGAAAAATCTGAAGAACAATTACAAGGAGTAACTCAGGAGATTTTCCCAAGAGGCAATCCAGAGGAGTTTGAGTTTCGATCAGCTTGCAGGATTGAGACAGGAGCAGAATATTGCTGGAAAAAATTCACAATAAAGACCGGGATGGCCGTGCGCGGTGGCTCACGCCTGTAATCCCAGCACTTTGGGAGGCTGAGGTGGGCAGATCATGAGGTCAGGAGATTGAGACCATCCTGGTTAACACCATGAAACCCCGTCTCTACTAAAAATACAAAAAATTAGCTGGGCGTGGTGGCGGGCACCTGTAGTCCCAGCTACTCAGGAGACTGAGGCAGGAGAATAGCCAGAACCCGGGAGGCGGAGCTTGCAGTGAGCCGAGACTGCACCACTGTACTCCAGCCTGCAGCCTGGGCGACACAGCGAGACTCCGTCTCAAAAAACAAACAAACAAAAAACCAGGATGAAGTTATTTCCCCAAAAGAGAGGTTTGAGGCAAGTGGTCAGCTCCCACTTGAAAATCAATGCAGCAGACAAATACCAGGAATGTAATAAATTGGAGAAAAGTTTGTCTCTGGGCACAAAACCTGTTGTACCTCTGAGGGACAGGCCAGAAGAGAGAGCCAGTAGGTGGAGGATGGGTGGCTGAGGCTTTCCATGTGAGTCATGTCTGAGTGGACATCAAGCAGTTACCAGTGGGTCAAAGCCCCATGGATGTCATGTGTGTGGGAAGTCTTTCAGCAAGAACTCACACCTTACTTGGCATCAGATAATTCATACTACAGAGAAGCCTTGTGTATGTATTGAATGTGGGAAAAAAATCACAACTCAAGCCTTATACAACATCAGAAAATTCACTGTGGATGGTGAAACCCTATCTCTACTAAAAATACAAAAATTATCTGGGTGCGGTGGTGCATGCCCATAATCCCAGCTACTCAGGAGGCTGAAGCAGAAGAATTGCTTGAACTAGGGAGGCGGAGGTTGCAGTGAGCTGAGATTGCGGCACTGCACTCCAGCCTGCGTGACAGAGTGAGATTCCGTCTAAAAAAAAAAAAAAAAAAGGCCAGGCGCGGTGGCTCACGCCTGTAATCCCAGCACTTTGGGTGGCTGAGGCGGGCAGATCACAAGGTCAGGAGATTGAGACCATCCTGGCTAACACAGTGAAACCCCTTCTCTACTAAAAATACAAAAATAAATTAGCCAGGCATGGTGGCGGGCGCCTGTAGTCCCAGCTACTTGGGAGGCTGAGGCAGGAGAATGGCGTGAACCTGGGAGGCGGAGCTTGCAGTGAGCCGAGATCACGCCACTGCACTCCAGCCTGGGAGACAGTGAGACTCCGTCTCAAAAAAAAAAAAGGAAAATAAAATTTATGGTGGAGAGAAACACTATGTGTGTAGTGAATTTGGCAAGGGCTTTAGGGAGACATCAAAACTTGTTAAACATCAGATAATTCATACTGGAGAAAAGCCCTATGGGTGGAATGAATATGGCACAGCTTTTAGTGGGAATTCAAACCTTATTAAACACCAACTGATACATACTGGAGAGAAGCCCTATAAATGTATTGAGTGTGGGAAAGCCTTTAATCCGAAAGCAAATCCCAGGCAATATCAGAGAATTCGTACAGGAGAGAAACTTTTTGAATGTAAAGAGTGTGGAAAAAGCTTCAGTCAGCCATCACACATGATTCATAATCAAAGGATGCATTTTTGAGAGAAGCCCTAAAAATGCAATGAGTGCGGAAGGGGCTTCAAACATCACACCTGATTGATCATCAAAGAATACACACTGGAGAGAAAACTTACTTATGTGTGGGAGAGGCTTCATTCAGATGTCACACTTGATTCATTGCCATAGAACACATTCTGTAGAGAAGCCACACGCATGTAGTGAATGTGGGAAATGCTTCAGCCAGAGCTCAACTCTTACTAGACATTAGGTTATTCACACTATGGAGAGCGAGTATAAGTTAAAGGAATGTGTGCAGGCTTTCAGGGTGAGCTAGCTTCTCAGTCACTATCTCACAAATTCTACTGGAGAGGAACCCCTCAATTCATACAGGAGGGAAAAGCATCCAAGAATGCAACAAAGGTGGGAAGCGTTTCATTGTAGCTCATTATACAATATCATGAGAGTTCCTATTGGAGAGAACCCCTATGGATGTAATGAATGTTGAAAAAACATTTAGTTGGAACTCACATATTATTTACAATGAGATAATTCATAGAGAATATAACGGATATGAGAGGCTTTGGTGTACTGTGGGAAGTAGGTGAAAATGTGGGTTCCTGCTGTTGCCCTTTTGAATAAACTGCCCTAGCAGGTGCTTGCCCCAGGGTGGCCATGCTCTGTAGGGAATCTTGCTTTAGACTGGGATTGTCAGATGGAGACAAAGCCTTATTCCTGGCTGGGAATGCCACTGGAAATGCTAGGGGAGACCAGGATCCATGGTGTGGCCTGATCTCAAATATGCAGAAACCAGAAGCAGAGACCAGACCCAGAGAGAGGCAGATAAATGCAACCCCCAAAGTGGATGCACAGGAAAATGGAAAACTATTAGAGTTAGTGTTGGGTCCCCAAAGCTGCCTTTTTATCCTGAACAATGATGAGCAATGACTCAAGGTCTTCGTGAAACCAAACAGAATAGCTGAGGTAGCTTCCTATACCTCTGCACCAAGTTTCTTAAATCTGAAAGCATGTAGAATGAGTGTCAGCCACACCAATATGTAGGATCTGTATTTTCATCAGAAGGCAATCCATTGCGGCTACTGGCTACACTGAAAACATAAAATTATTTTAACATAAGCCTTCAGCAGCTTAGGATAAAATAAAATCCTTGACTTTAGAATGAAGTTTTCACTATGAAATGAAATCAAGGCTGGGCACAGTGGCTTCCGCCTGTAATCCCAGCATTCTGAGAGACCAAGATGGATCCCTTGAGGCCAGAACTTTGAGACCAGCCTGGCAACATGGTGAGACCCCAACTCTACAAAGAAATAAAGTTAGCCAGGTATGGTGGTGGGTACCTGCCATCCCAGCTACTTGGGAGGCTGAGGTGAAAGGATCATTTCAACCCAGGAGGTTGAGGCTGGAGTGAGCCATGATTGTACCACTGTACTCTGGCCTAGGCAACAGAGCAAGTCTCTGTCCCAAAAATATATGTGTTAAAGATTACTTATATCTAGTTCACACCTCCCAAAGGTAATTCAAATTGAAATAGTGATGCATACAATAATGTCATTAAAGTAGAAACACAAAATGAAGGATTATAAAGCCATTGATGGTAAGAGCAATTGATTTTGTGAACTTCAAATCATAGATATAACTGAATAGTTCATTGCTTATACAAAGTAGCTGTTGAAAAGTTTCTGACTGACTGGGCACAGTGGCTTATGCCTACAATCCCAGCACTTTTGGAGGCCAAGGCAGGTGGATCACTTGAGAACAGCCCAGCCAACATGGAGAAACTCTGTCTCTACTAAAAATACAAAAATCAGCCAGGTGTGGTGGTGTACGCCTGTAATCCCAGCTACTCCAGTGAATCAAGAGAATTGCTTGAACCCAGGAAGCAGAGGTTGCAGTGAGCTGAGATCACACCACTGCACTCCAGCCTAGGTGACGGAGTGAAACTCGTCTCAAAAAAAAAGTTTCTGGTTAGATTTTTCCTCTAGGCACAGTCTGAGGGGAAAGGAAGAAAGCTTTGAGAGGAACACAGCTATGAAATGCATCCATCTGCCCCTCCTTTGTCATCAGACAATGGCACAACCTGAGCCAGGCTTGAGGTGCAGAGAAGAGTAGCCAGACCCACATACTCTCCAGGGTTCCACCCCTAGTCCTGGGTGTAAGAAACAAGCTGTTGCCTTGTGTCTAAAAAAAAAAAAAAAAAAGAGAGGGGCTGGGCACGGTGGTTCACGCCTGTAATCCCAACACTTTTGGAGGCTGAGGCAGGAGGATCACTTGAGGCCAGGAGTTCAAGACTAGCCTAGGCTACAAATTGAGACCCTGTCTCTACAAAAAAAATAAAATAAAATAAAATTAAAAATTAGTCGGGTGTGGTGGCCTGCATGTGTATTTCCAGATACTTGGGAGGCTGAGGCAGGAGGATCGCTTGAGCCAGGAGTTTGAGACTACAGTGAGCCATGACTGCACCACTGAACTCCAGTTGGTGATAGAGACCTCCTGGTCTCTAAAAAATTTGTTCAAAAGGGAGGGGAGGGTAGACTCTTGAGTCTTGTCTACAATTCTCTACTCCTCACAGGGAAAACGGACCTTACATTCACAAAAGGGGAGCCGCAGCAGCTGCTGTCACCAACAAGTGCTTCTGTGCATCACTGATTTCTGTCTGGCTCACTCTCTTCCACTTGTCCTGTTGTGCATACCATTGGATGCCAGGTGACACTTGACAAGGTCGTAAGTGCCACAGGACTTGCAGTGAAGGGAAGGGTTGATTGGGGAAGAGGAGTTAGGAAGGTTTGGATGAAGAATTAGAACTGGGCCTTGAAGGATTGACAAGATGATAGCAGAAGGAACACAGATGAGCTGGGAAGAGGCCGATTCTCTCAGATGCCACGGGGTTGGGAGTGTGACTGAGGACCGGGGCAGGACCAGGATCCTGCAGAGCCTGGCCTTGCAGGCTCTGCTGGGGAGTGTGTTCAGTCCTGGAGCCATGGGAGCTGTAGGATATTTTGAACCAGGAGGGTTTCAGAATTCCTCTTCAAGGCCATCTGGGTATGTGGTCTGCGAAGCACCTGGCAGCTCCCTGTGCCCACAAAGGTACTGTGCTCCATGGTGTGCATAGCTCTTCTCCTCACCTGTCAGCCAGGTGTCATAGCTACACTGCCCTGTTCCTCAGACTATAAACTGGCTTCTTGATTACCCTCATGGCTCCTTTTCCTTCACATGAGATTTTATGGTAAAAACAAACAAACAAAAACAAAAAAAGAACCCACACTGGTTGTGGCTGAATGCTCTGGTCAAGGGTCTGGGCCATAGCGCACTTGTACTGGGAAGATCAGCAGGGAGGTTACTGAGAGGCAAACTCACCTGCCCAGAGTCTGGACAGTGGCTCTGCAGGCTCTGATACCTGATTCTTCCCTCATGCTGAGATGATCCCTACATTCCAGGAAGTGGACATAGAAGACCAGAAAGCCAGG